CCCCCCCCCAGTAATTTCCCAATGCTACAAACTATTAAATATTGTAGATTACCTTATTTCTGTGGTTGTATCCAATCATTGTAGTTCTACGAAAAGGATTTGTAAAATTGAGATTCACATCTAATAGAATTCGTTTGTAAAGGTCCAGAGCAAACCTGTTAAGCAGAATGGATGTAGGAACATTTACACTTGGAGAAAACAATTCAAAATATCAATACTTGCCAAATACTTACAGTATTTTTGTGTTTCTATCAGTAACACTGTTTACTGCATACAAAACACCACATACTACAAACATTTCTCCAACTTTATGATGATTAATACTAATATTCCATATATACTGAATTTTGAGTGAGTATGAATCCACTTTCATAACAATTGTGTTGTTGTTAGATGGAAGACCATATATCACCCACAATCCATTATCATCAACTGAAAAGTCCATGTAATTATACTCTGTTGTATAGAGATAATTACTTCCATTAGTTGCGACAAGAGGAACTTGCATTTGATGAGTTCCTTCTGTTAGCAAATCAAATTTTATGATGTGGGGTTTGTCGCGTTCATTATAATAAAATGATCCATTGTAGACAACATGTGCATTGCCCTGCAAAAATTTCATAAAAATATTACAATACAGTGAATTTTTATTTTATTTCAAGATATTCTCAAACTCTTAATTAACATATATATGAATTTATCATGAATTTGTTTTATTTCTAAACAAATATGTACAAAATGTTGAATGTACCTTAAATGCTTTATCAAGCTTATATCGTCTTGTTGCATTGTCTTTTCGGTATGAAGATTTATTATCAAATTCATAAAGATGGTAAGGGTCACTCTCATTGGTTACCCAGAATTTTTCAGCGTTGTGTTCTGGTCGAGGCAGTGGATCACGCATCCAGCTACCATATACAGCATCAGTGTAACGATGATACACAGGTTTTCCTACAGCATACAACTGGCAATCTGTAAAAAAAGTCATCAATTAATCAGAAAACAATAAAATAATTTTGTGAAATTTAACAATGTTTCTTGAATTCAAAAAATGTTGATGTTAAAACAAATCAATGAACGTGCAATCTTTTTTCTGAAATATAATGTATTTGTGTTACTTGGGCAAACGTTCAATGTTACAAATAATTCAATTAATAATTAATTCGATTTTGTATCAAATATAAAATACTTATTTTGATAAAATATCCTTTTTAAGCATAATGGAAACAACAGCAGGCATATTCTGCAACATTAATTTTGGTTCATTTAGCATTATTAAATAAACAACTTGAATATTTGATAGTGTCAATGCAATTGTGGACTAATATAAAAAAATGAGCTTCCTGATTTATAACAGCTCAATGAAAAATGAAGAATCTGATTTTCATTACAGTTAATGCTTATACATTTATAACAATTATTTTTATGACATTCTTTTGCAAAATTTCTTTTAATTACACTGTTATACCTTTTATGAGAGCTAATACATTCAGTATTTCAGCATTTCAGGTTAAAAATAATAAAATATTTTAGAAAGTTATCATTAAATGTAATTTACCCATAGTTCTATTGGGAAGACCAAGCATTGTAACATTCTCAAATGGTCTTATTTCCATTCGGCTGGCCAGATTGAAGAGTGATATTCCTCCATCGTGGCATTTTACCTCAGGACATTCAGGACAAGTCACTGGGGGAGGACAAAGATCATCAAGGTCCACATCAGGAGGAGGTGTAGGACCATATACTCTTCCTTGCAGAGGAGGAGAAGTCACCATTGTTGGATCCACACCTGAAATATTATTCCCAAAGGATATGAAATGAGTAATTAAATAATTCTCTCCAATTTTTTTTCCATACAGAATTCAGTAAGCTAAAAGTGTTAGAAAAATAATTTTGCCACAGAAAAAAAACTGCAAAATGAAAACATTATATGTTTTTATTTGGAAAGTAACAATAAAGGTTTGGAAAAATTGGTTAAATATGCAAATACGCCCTTTACACAAGGAACAGATTGTAAAAATTGCAAATATATTAATTATGGTAAGATAATAGAACAGATAAAACAAGGTTATAGAACAGATAAAACTTACAAATATACATAATTAAGTGATACATAATCTTCTTTGATTCAACAATTTTCATTTCTGTAATACATGACATTTTTTAACATAATTCTAAACATAAGTTCCACAACAATAAAAAATATCATACATAACCCAATATTTTGGCATAAATAAATATATTCAGTTTTTTAACATTTTTTTTCTGAAAATGACACTGGAAGTTGTAGCGAGCAATGGTTGGCAAATTACTTGAGGAGAACACGTATGACAATCCTCATTACTAAGAGGTGAAGTACTATATATTTGGAGATTTCTATGTTTGGAACTAGCACCCTGATGTATGAAAATTTATTTATATAATGTGCTTTTAATAAAATGTTATAATTTTGGAACACTTTTGTTATTGTTTAGAATTGATTTTAAGAATTTTTAGAACTAACATAATTATAAGAGCTATTTCTTCAGTAACTATTATTCAATAATAAATTTCTCCATAAGGTAACTCTATATTGTAAAAACATGGTAACTTATATTTTTTCTTGACTTACTATTTATCTATCTTTAATTTCATCAAGTACTGAGATCTCTGTGTTCTTGTTTAGATATGTAATTATTGGATTTTTTACTAACAGTAGTTATTTCTGCAATGTTTTCTCAGAGTGTTGGTTTCCTCAGATATAGTAAATTGAAAATTGCTTGTATCATGTATGTTTGGCTCATTGTTTTGTTAAGTATTTTTCTATTGTGTATACAAGTTTCTGTTCTTTTATTATATTGTAATAAGAGTGTAGGGATATTTGTACAAGTACTTGATGAACAATTGTATAAACTAAGCTAATCTAATGTAAAAATAAAGCCTTGATCTGCGGTATTTATTACACATGACAATATGAACTAGGATTTTGATAATTTATTGCTTTCCCACAGTATGTTACATACAGTAATGAACTTCATTTTAACCTCATTATATTAGCTATGTACTTGTAGGTCTAATTGTAGTTTATTCAAAACACATATTGTGTTTCCTGGTTTGTTGAAAAGGCAGGTTTTAAATTAATATCTTTGTAATTCCAACTCACAATAACATACAGGGCTGGCTGATATCAATACCTGATAAATCTCAAAATTTACAAAAAATTATGTAAGCCTAATGGTTGACACAACAATTACAAATATCTTGGGGATAGCCTGCTATTATGATGCTGCTTTATTACTACAGCAGTTTGTATGGTGGCCACATTAAAAAAAATTGGGAACAAAATTCGTTTTTAGTGTTCCAAAAGTGTTCAGTCACTCAAGTCATGCAAGAAATTACTTTATCACATAACGCAAATCTCAAATTTTCAAAACCCAAAGGTAATTAATTTAATTAATAAAAATGAATTTGCTAACAAATTTTGTATGGCAAATAGACTCTGCATTTAAAGAATTTTAAAATTTCATTATACTTCTGAAATATGAAGGAACAGAAGATAACAATTCAACAACAGTGGCATAAGTTTGACACATCAAATTACTAACATCCATGTAAGCACACTGCCCCAGGGTCATCTATTGCATGATGTAGTGCAGGGACACCTCAAAATTACATGAAAAACTTCTGCGTTAGAATTAAACTAGAGGTGTTAGAACCACACATACTTCCTTGTATTATTTCTAATGGCTATGCAATATCATGATACTTCATAAAAATTGTTTCCAACTGCAAAAATGTTTTCTTGTTATATTTGAAATGAGGTTCATAGAGTTAACATGCCAGGGACAATACCTCTACACCAACATCGGCTCTTGACGTTCCTGACGCTTAAAAAGAAAGTTGATAATTTGCATATCCAATTTTAAAAAATGCAGAGATTTTCATTTACATTATTTGAAGATCTAGTTTTAAAGAACAGATTTCATGAATGAAAAAATGTCTACCAGCAATACTGAAGTTTTGAAGTATTAATTTTTTGTTTGCAATTTTTGAAAATACAGAGTTTGGCAAAAATGGGACATGTGCCATTTTTTAGTGTCACTGCCCTTAGGAATAAAATAAAATAAAAACTTCTTGAGAATTTTTTATAAAATGTATTAATTTGAGCAAACATTTCACTTTTTTCTGAGAAAAAATGTGTATTTCTTTTTGAGAAAATAATTGTCTATACTTTACACAAAATGATGTGAAAACTAATGATATTTTTAATGCTTTGTACCCATCATTAAAGATAAGACTTTCAAGAACATATTTTATTATGAAGAAAACTCAGTGTTGAATACTGAAGTTGTAGGAAAAGGCTTCAACCAGTTGTAGTTGTGTAGTTGTAGGATAATATGGTCAACGAAAATGAGACTTGCACAATTTTTTAAGCCAGATAGAGAGATGGACAGTTTGCTGTAAACTAATTTTTCAGTATCAAAGATCCATGTAATGTGGAATCTGACTCCCCACCATGTTAATGAAAGTAATTTATTACACCAAGGGAAAAAATTGAACCTCTTTATGTACATCAGGGCCGCACAATATGCATTTTTTTGACCATTTTACACAACAGCATTACATTACTCTGTCTTTATTACATAAGTTCATAATAAGTGAGAAAATAAAATTTCTGTATTGTTTTCCATGAAATAGGCACATGTGTTTTTCAGTAATGCCTTAGAATACTTAATTTATGGCATTAATGTCATGTCATTGAATACATGAGAATTAACCTATTTCAATTTTCTTAAATAATCTTCATTAGGTTCAGAATTGTGGAATTTCTTATGCGCAATTAAGAATGTGAGAGAGAAAGAAATTTGATTAATTATTCAAAGAAATATAGTGGTCTACCAAGAATTAATCCTGTGACAATTCACCTGAAATTTCTCTTATTGTATGTGTTTCTCTCTTTGAACAAAAGTGTATTATATAACATAAACAGAAGATAATAACTTACCAAGAACTTGAAAATTTCCTTTTGTCATGCCTATTTCATTCTTGCTAATACAATGATAATATCCATAATCTAATGGTCCAACTCGTGTTATATTGAGAACCATTCGTGTCTACAACAAAAATATAAAATTAGAAGTAGGACGATGACATCATGACAAGATTTTGAATTTTGATCCTTTCCAATCCTCAATTGATTCAAATTCGAGACAACCTGGATGTAATGTAGAAAATTTTTGTAAATCAACATTGGTAAAAACATATCACATTTCTCTTGTAATATTTTCAGTCTTAAAACACTGAACTCAAATATTTTTAAATTAGTTTAGAATGACCATACAACATTAATTATTTAGTTAATAGAAAAGAGAGTAATTATCTGATTATCAACAAAGTTGAGAAGCCTCCTCAAAAAAATCTACAATTCTTTATATTTTTTAAAATTTTTATATAATGCAATATTCTGGAGCAGGGATTTCCAATAGTTTTCTTCAATTGATTCTTTTAAAAGATTGGTTAGCTTCATCAACCCCTGTCACTTATTGCTGTAATATACAGAATATAACCTATCATAAGACAAATAAATTGCACATCGATGACCTAAAGATTAAGAATATAGAAGATTATTAGGTAAATAATATATTTAATAGATTATTTTTGTATTATTACAACTTTAAATTGAAAATATATAAGGTTTGCAGAAACAAAATAACAGATTATGCGTTATGTGAAATTCCAAAATAGAAACAAATTTGCAATTTATTATTAGATGTTTTGAAGCTTTATAAAAGAAACAAGAAATTATTAATTTCATTTATGTTTTTTGTAATCAATGAGATTTTGATTATACTGTTCAGTTAGCGATGTGTATTTAGGTGTCGACTCCCAGTGATTCATTCCCTTGATCGGAATCCCCTCAAACTTCCATCGACTCCCAGGGAGTCAATATGACCATGTTGGGATCCCGTGTACTAGAGATATAAAAAATATTATTAAGATGATTAATACACATTAATTTACAAAGTTTGCCCTAAGTTTGTTTACATAAAGTTTTCTTTTGTCAATGTTTTCAGAATATTGTTGATTTGCACATGAAATCAATACAAAGAGAATTGATAATTTTTTAAACAAAAATGCAGTGATTGCCTATTACACATTAAGATTCACATTAAGAAATTACTCATGTATTTAATTTTGAACATACATTTGTCATACATATCATTTGAAATAATATGACTTTGGTAGAAACTACTTACTTTGTAAGGTTTATACTTAGATTCAATGAATTCCATATGGTATTTATCGCTGGGCTCAATGAAACGGCCATCTGCTCTTTCCCAATAGCGAACGGGTTCAGGCCAGGCCTCAATATCACATTCCAAAACAGCTGTAGAACCATTAGAAACACCTATCTGTTGGTTCTGGATGACAATGAGTGGTGGAACTAAAACAAAATTGGGATTTCTTATTGTCGTAGAATAACAGAATTCTACTGGTTGATTCCTATTTTACATTTAAATCATTAAAAATTTTATCATAGAAATCTAAAATTAAAGCCTCCATTCTTTTGAAAACTGTTTTTGCATTCAAATCACCGTTTCATTATTCAGAATGGACAAAAGATCAGCAAAGTACTACAAAGAACTGAGAAAAAGATGGAGAAAATTCTAGTTTTAGTTTCTGTCTCTGGGTTTCCATTAACAAATTCATAAAGCAAAATTTTAAAATAAATACACACAAGCAATAACAGAAAAAAATCAGGTGATCCTATATACTTTTTTATATAAAATATAACAATCACAAAACAAATAAGAGAGTATTGTTTTAGTTTACATATATCACAAAGTCGCAAATTGAATACTTACATTGAACTTCCACTGCAACTGTGAGATTGGCTGCTGGTGGTATACCATTATCTGCTATGCAGAGGTAGACACCCATATGCTTCCGATTCACTCGTGTTATGTTTAGTGAATGGCCAGTTACTGAAACAGCTGTAAAAGCATACATGATACCAATATTTATTAGTGTAGGGGTGATAATGAAATTGAATTTACAATATCAAAGAAGGAGATATCACAAAATATTATATTAAAAAGTAAAAGGGACTTGCAAAAATATGGACAAAAGAATGTGAAATGAAACAAGTGCATTGGTGCACCCAG